CAAATCTATAATCAACGGTTAAGATTAATCAATAAAAAAATTAAATTTTAAAGTTTGAATTTTAATGAGGCCTAGTGAACAATGATGAAAGGGSCATTTTGGAAAGAAAAAATACACTTTCTATGCACGGCTACTATTAAGGGTATTCTACTAAATTAAATTAATTTGTAACCCCCAAACAATTAATGGGGAGTTACAAACAATCAAATCCCAAAGAATATGCATTCATATTATTATTATTCTTTTACTATTGATCTTCCATGTTCATTCTTGTATGAATTTCTAAATCGCATAAAAAACACGATAGTAACAATTTTCGGTATTGATCAATTTGAACACAAAATGAACCGTGAACACAATTTGAACACAAATGAACCGTGAACACGATATGAACACAAATGAACATGATATGTGCAATTTTTGGTCCATATGTTCACATACATAGACGCCCCACAAAATTAAGGTAGCATCTGTTAATTTGTGTTCATCTATTAATTTGTTCAAATTGTGTTCACGGTTCATTTGTGTTCAAATTGTGTTCACGGTTGTTCATTTGTGTTCAAATTGTGTTCACGGTTYAWTTGTGTTCAAATTGATCAATACCGAAAATTGTTACTACCGTGTTTCTTATGCGATTTAGGGATTCATACAAAAATGAACATGGAACATCAATAGTAAAATAAAATAATAATAATATGAATGCATATTTTTTGGGATTTGATTGTTTGTAACTCCCCATTAATTGTTTTGGGCTTACAAATGAATTCAATTTACTAGAATACCCTTGTAAGGGTAAAATGAACAAGACAAACCTATAAGAATAATGGAATTTGATTGGTTGAGAGGGTTTTCAAAATTAACACAAAAATGATGGTTAACATTTGATCTTCCCTCTATATATAGGAGCGATCAAATATAGAGGGAAGATCAAATGTAAACCACCTAATTTGTACAAACCGTGCAAACCACCCTTATCCGTCGATTTCATTATTTAATTTTATGAAATTTTTTCATGATATTGTTTAATCTTGTAAAATTGTTTCATATATGCAGTAGGTAGTTAGCATGAACATGCACTTCTGTTCTATCTCTCTCTCTCTTTCTCTCACTGTCATATGTATTTTCTTTTTGAGTTAGAAGTTGTGTGCTTATGTTAATATGTTCACTGCTTGCTAAATGAAACACGATTCACTACTATGTCGATTAGATGACATTTTGTAATAAACATGGATATGATTTCATAAAAAATGCAATTCAGAAAGTCAAAGCTGATAAAGGGTACTGATGAAACCAATTTCATCACTTATGTTAAATGAAACATGATTCAGTAAATCAAACCCTTTATAAGCTGTGTGCCTATGTCAAACATGGGTGCCTATGTTAATATGTGCACTAGATACTGTGTTCCTTATGCGTAGTGCAATTCTGTGTATGCCAAGTTTTTATGCATTTTATAAGATGTATAATGCATTGATTTCTGGATTTCAGTGGCCTATATATTTCTAATAAGTGAACTCGATGCAATGCAAGTACATGTACTAATAGATTTGAATTTTCTTCTTTGGATTCAAGTTTGACTTTCGGTCGTATGTACACGATAATAAGCAGTTTCATGAAAATACATAACATAAATCAAACCTCTTTGTTCAGATGTGTCGGTGTTGATGTTTCACCGATATTCTCTTGATTTGAAGCTTAACGGTGATGAACATCTTCACTTGATTCAACGTTAG